CAGCTGTATCTACCGCAGAGTGATGGATCTCATCAAGAGAGCGTCTGGTAGGGTTGTGCATTGACTCTGGCCACAGTTTTTTTCTAGCAGGCAAGTTTCAGGTTTCATCTCCTGAATGGCCCTCTGGATATTTTGGAGACATGATGCAGTGGTGTATTCACTCCAGTAGGTGTTTAGTGTGAGTTCTTGATCTGAGTCCATGGCCTGAACAAGACGTTGTAGGGAGTTGCGCATATGAAGAACCTTGAAAGTGTGGATGATCCCTTGGTCCATGGCCTGAATCAGCGATGTAATGTTTAGTGGCAGAAATTAGATTTGCCTTCCATTATACGACAAATCATCAGTGTGGCCTCCAGCGTTGTCTTTGAGCAGAAGCACTTTAAAGTCTAGTCCTTTTCCTCTCAAATACCGCTTTACCTCTGGAATGACATGCTGTTTGAACCAGTCCACATTGAGCGCTTTTGTCATCCAAGCCTTTAAATTGTGCATCCAGTAAACAAGCAACGCATTCTCATTTTTGTTTTTTGGGGGCTATAGGATTCTTTGACCTATAAATAAGCCCTGGTTTTAGCATAAAGTCTGCAGCATTTCCACACATAACTTGAGTCACGCGATCTTTTTAGGCCTCAAATCCTGAGGCGTTGGCTTTGGCTAAAGGTACGAGAGGGCATTCGTTTCTAAAAGAAGCCTGTTTCATCCATATTTAAAACTCGTTCGGGCTTATATCCCCCTCCGTTGATGATCGCTTCAAGTTTGTTGTTCATGTATTCCTCTACTCCAGGAATGTCCCTTTTCCTACTGTCACTGAATCACAAAGCTAAAGCAGACTCCATACATATGATGGTGTTGTTGTGGCAGCTTCAACCCTTTTTGCATCCTTGTTAAAACTTATTGCTGCTGTCGTTAATATGTTATTTTCCTCCTCCATTATGTAACGAACCGAAGATTCATTTATTCCGTTATGGGGCCGTATAACTTTTACCTTCCTTCAGCATGTCGAGAAGCTCAAATTCAGCACTTCAGAGTCACACTGCTAGCGATAGAACATTTATGTAAATTTGGCAAGATGAACGCAAAGCAAACGTGTACTGTACAGTAGACATGGCACGGAGATTGATTGACAATGGTCTACAACCCCTTAGCCAATCAGGACGCAGAACTCAAAGCGCTTTGATACACACGTTATAGCGAGGGACAGCTGTACACACACACACTCACACTCACACTCACACACTCACACTCACACTCACACTCACACTCACACTCACACACACACACACACACACACACACACACACACACACACACACACACACACACACACACACACACACACACACACACACACACACACACATATATATGTGTATATATGTATATATATATATGTGTGTGTGTGTAAGTATATATATACATAAATATATGTATATATATGTATATATATATATATATGTATATATATATAAGTATATATGTATATGTATATATATATATATGTGTGTGTGTGTGTGTGCGTATATATATATATATATATATATATATATATATATATATATATATGTATATATTTTATATGTATATATATATGTACTTTATATTTATATATTTATATATATACCTATTTATTATATATATATTTATATATTTATATATATACCTATTTATTATATATATATTTATATATATATATATATATATATATATATATATATATATATATATGTATATTTCTATATATCTATATATATTATTTAGGACATTGGCTTCTCTCAGTCTTTTCCTGTGTTTCTGATTTTGCACTTTTTGTTTGAAATTTTGGCCCCAGAGTATTGTTAATGTATTTGTTTCTTACTCTTGGTTTATAGGGAAAAGGGTGTTTATATTTAGATCAGCTTTTTAGCCTCTCTGAATGAATTTCAAAGATTTTTCTTTTAATTTCGTCATAGTTTGGGATATTGATTTTATATATCATAGCATTATTATTTTTTTATTGAATACGAATGTTCTATTAGGGAAAGCTTATATTGTACAAGATTCTTAGGAATTATACTGTACAATCACAGATAAAAGGTTATATTTGTTTGTTTTCTTTTAGATGGAATTTGAAATGTTTGACAGAAATTTGGGCATATATGAATACTTATATTTCTATCTTGTCTATCTATATACGTATATATATATACTTATATGTTTATATATGAAGGTGTGTTCACTCCACTGTGTTCTCAGACCAACTGCCCGAAAATACAGTTATAAAGTCTAATTAATATAAACTTTCATTATCCAGTCATTATGTTGCTTAGTAAAACAAAACATTTAATATTGCATTGTTAGGGGATTTATCTGAGTATGCCTTCCCTCATTTAACTGTATACCAAGCACAACTGTATGTAAAAGTACTGTCTTGATGAACTGCAAAAATATACATTTCAACTTTTTTACAATGTGTCTATTTCATCCAAAATAGTTAGAAAATAAACAGTCTTATACAAAGACTCTGTCTCTCTCTGTCTATTCTCTGTCTCTGTTATATATTTGAATTATATATATATGTATATATATATATATATATATATATATATATATATATAACACACACACATATATACACATATATATATATATATATATATATATATATATATATATATATATATATATATATATATATATATATATATAATGTAAAACACACACATTCGCGTAGGTGAGATATAATACTATTCTTATACTTTTTCTACATATGCCACAAGTGTTTGTGTGTGAATGTCCGATCGTTCACACTCACACACCTTTTCTTTTGACAGAACAATGTATTACACTATATCCTTGTGCACATATTGAGTTACTTGTTGCTCAGCGTAGTGGAAGGGGCAGCATAAGGATAGTTCGCCGGATATAGGAAAATCTGAGTCAAAGGTTCTTCGGTGAACAGAACGACTGACACAGTCCATGCTCCTAGTCCTCATAAAACAAACACAAATGGTCAGGTTATTAACCCATGATCAGGTTATAAACTCATTTGCCCCGGATTTATGTTCTGTCCCCCTGTAGTTTTATGGTGAATTTTGTTACATACAGATGGCTCCACATGTGCTCAGCCGGTAAGGAGTCTATCAGTAGGCCCTAGTTACCGATCCTGATTTTCCCATTCCTTGAATTGGCGGTAAAATGTTTCTTTCTCATTAATACCATTGCTGTCGAGGTTATGTCAAATATTTTAGACAATGAAATGATACAAAAGACCCTTTCCTAAAGTGAAGGAAACGGGTAAACAGGTGAGATAGGTAGTTCTGATAAACTGGCTCTTTGGTGAATAAGAACTTGTAGAGCCATCTATGTGTATATACAATAAATAAACGTGTACTACAATGGGCATGGCATATATTCCTGCCACATGGGGCGAATGGTTTAATTCGTAAAACTTTTTTTATTTACCTTTTAAGGATACTTAAGACAAAAAAGAGAAAAGGAAAAAAACTCGTACAACATACTGTTTATTACAAATTAATGAATTCATAATAAAGAGACATAACAAAACAAAAACAGTTGAGGTTTGGAGATTCAGTTTCGTTACGAGAGTGCCAAGTAACATGTGAAGTTAAATGGAGTCTGTAAGGCGTTGAAGAGAAGTTGCAATCGGCCTCAGTATCCCATAATACTTCTTTCTTTGATACAGAAAAGTGCAAAGAAATTTCAAAGACGCCTGGGAGTGTTTTAAAGCAGCTGTGACCGGCTTACTGCTTGTTGCACGCGTAGACATATCATAATTTCCTAAGAATGAACCTAGTACATAACTTGAACAATTGCTTGAACAAACAGTACTCATTCCTCCATTTCTTCAGTTTAGCAGAAGAAAACGACTGCACTTTACTTTATACACACGCACACACCTGCCTTTCTTGCAAACATACCCATTTCACAAACAGAAAACGGAAAATCTCGATCTCGAAAAAAAGGAAAAAAAATCGGTAAGGGAAAATCTGATACGTGGGGAAATATCTGACTTTCGAGGTAATGGTGACTGGTTTCCGAAACAGATTAGTGAATAACTTTAACGGAAACTGGGAAAAAAGACTGGACAAGGGCTTAGTTCCTGTGTGCAGTGATTCCAAAGCAAACTTCAGGTGACGAAAATAATTTAACAATGGACATGACTGTAAATAAGATGTCCGTGCTGCACAGTACTACCCAACCTGTGGCGTAGATAGGAAATTTTATAGGGGGGGGGGGCGAGAAATACAGATTTTCCGACAAAAAATTAATAAGCATTTTCGTTTCTTCATGATTCTTTTCCGACAAGATTAGCAATTTTCCGACAAAATGACAGTTTAGCTCTAGAGGGTTTTTTTCCGCCCCCCCTGACCCCCCTCTATCTACGCCACTGTACCCAACTGAGGCCCATAAAATGTTAAAGAGAACCATAGTATCATAGTTAAAATATTATCTTCAAGTTTCTTCTATTTAGGTATCTCAGAACAGATTCAAAGTGAAAAATATTTTGTGATCTGAAAAAAAGATTAATGAGTGCACTGATAGATGTTCTAAAGAAGCAAACCGCTTAAATTTTTCTTTAACAGGCTCTCTCGGGGGGTACCAGAAACACGAATGCATGTTTGTACTGCCATAAACGAGAATGTTGCCTCAGGATATTATGGGCTGTACTGTTTGATATGAAGCCACGTGACTCAAACAGTTTTTTGACATATGACATTGGCTTGTTATTGACGTGGTGATGTCCGGGCTGACCAGGTATGGCCCAGCTCAGGATTATGCCTGTGGAGAGAATGGATTTATTAGTGGCACTGTCTGTTTGCTGTCGCCTTTTTTGGACAGTTATGATGATGTTTTGAACGTATTTCTTCATCTTGAATTTTCGTTGTCTTTCACTTTAATACTTTGTAATTAGCTGGGGACAATCCTACCCCCCCCCCCAAAAAAAAAAAAAAAAAAAAAAAATATATGTATATATATATATATATATATATATATATATATATATATATTAACACACACAATACTCACGACTAAGCCAAGAATTTGAAGAAAAAAGTTTAATATTGGACAATGGATCATCAAAATGCATGTTGACCATTAGAGTTCCAACCAGTACTGACCTTTGCATGCGTGCCTGATCAAATTCTCAATAAAATTAGCTTCGTACTTCTTGGGGACGTGTTCAGCCACCTCAAGACTCAGCACCCAGTCGTATTTCCTGCCCAAGTGCATCGGCTGCGACAGATCCCCATATCGCATGAAGCCGCCAGAGATATCTTCGATGTTCAGGGCGCCGTCGTAGCCTGGAGGAGGGAGGACAGGTGCTTAGTTAGGAACATGTAGAAGAACACGAGTCGCAGGAGATAAGGGTGCAAGTCAGAGATCGCTGGGGCCTTGTTCTGTTGTGACTTACAGGAAGCTTGTCCACTTAGGTTGAGTTTTAGTCTGTGTAAAATGCGACAGCAGATGGTACTATCCTGAATATATTCTGTATGTATGTATGAATGTTGATGTATAAGTGCGCCTGCATGACCAAAGCTATTTCTGCGGTGACATAATGTGTGGAATCAGTCTGAAACAGAAACAAATACATAAACATAAAAGCATAGACATTATTACAAAGAAAAAAATCAACAAATAATAAGTAAATAAAAAAAAAAACTAATGTTAAGCCCACCTGTCCAAGACTTGATCACCTGAGGTTTATTCGTTAGACCACCTCTTTCCATTTCGCGAGCGTATTCTTTGTCCATACGCTCGATCTCAGCCTTGTTCTTTGTCTTGATGATGTTCTCCTTGACTCTCAAGAAGCAGCGACCATAGTGGCCTCTTCCAGCCCCCAAATCCAAAACGTCGTGGTGTTGAATCACTTTCTCTAGCGAGTTGCACATCTAGAGAGGGACAGCTTGTGAATCAGTACCGGTTGCACATTTTACCACCTTATTCTCATAAATCGATAATAGATCTATATATTACAGAGGATGAGACCCTCTTTCTTGCTCTCCATCCTAAGAAGAAAAATAATTATCCTAAAGTTTCCTACCTGTCCATCCCACGTAGGATTCCACTTGTCTAGAATGTCTTGCTCATTGAGACAATACCCCCCTGTGGGCATCACTCTCCCCTCTGCCGCACAATACAGAAGGAAAATGTAGTTGTATGCCACTCTGATCCGCTGTTCAAGCTCATTCTGTGTAAAAAAAAAAGGAGGGGGGGGAGGTTGTGATGTCAGTTGACAATATTTACTTCTGTAGTTATGTAATGATGTGTTTAAAAGCCTTGTTCATATCGACATGAGTTTAACATCGTTATATCATGTACACATAGAAAGCCATACAGTAATTTTCATCGTGAGCCAACTGTTGCAGTGAATTCAACTGGTAACAAGTGTTCTGCAGGTGTGTGAGTGTGTGCAAGTGTAGGGGAATCAGCGAGTGTGAGTGAGTGTAAGTGTAAGTGTGTGTGTGAGTGTGTGTGTGTGTGTGTGTGTGTGTGTGTGTGTGTGTGTGTGTGTGTGTGTGTGTGTGTGTGTGTGTGTGTGTGTGAGTGTGAGTGAGCGAGCGAGTGTTTGTGTGTGTGTGTGTGTGTGTGTGTGTGTGTGTGTGTGTGTGTGTGTGTGTGTGTGTGTGTATGTGTGTGTGTGTGCACTCGCGCGCGGCGAGCTTTTGAATGTGCATGTGCATGAGCGCAAGTGTTTGCACATATGTATATAAATGAAAAACATAAATAAAGATATCTTTGTTCACCACGACATGGAATACTATCTCTATCTCTTTACTTTTCCTAATCAACTTCAATTCCATCCTCCTCACTCACTATTCTGGCAGAAATTCCATCCTCAGGCGGTGGCGATGACGTTGACAATGACAATGACGTCGAGGAGTCATCGGAGGCCATGAGAGCTTCCAGACTCTTCCGCGTGGGGAGAGGGAACTGGTTGCCCGGGGCGTTGTGGGTGCAAACCACGATCAAAACCGTGACCACGATCGCCGCCAGAAGCCAGTTGCTCGAGGGTATCGATCTCTGAGGAGGAGGGAATTCAAAACATGTTAGAAGGGGATGTATGCCAGCACACTGTCATTAGCATTCATCCATATTATTACTATATTATTGTTACCATTATTATTATTATTGTAACGAGGATAATGTTAATATGATCCACGGTCGGCTCGATCCTGTGCATAGGTGTCTACACATCTCGCCTAACGGAAGTCAAAACAAACCAATACCATAAATGATGCGTTATTTCATTTGGATTTTGTGCAACGTCAAATGGTATTTGCCAAAAATTTAAAGGATCAGGACTGAGATGTATACGTGGTTGGCTGTGTCGAAGGAAGTTGTCCATGATTAAGGGACATGCAGGAGGTAAGGCAGTTGCCACCTATTGCCTCCCATCCCATATGTATCGGCCTGCTTGTGAAGTTTAGCACTACTCTCATGGCCATGTTAAGTGCTCTTAAGACCATGTCTCATCACCGGTACCTCAGTCCCCTTCTGTTTGCTTACTGTGAGGCGCCACAGTCACCAGTTTTGGTCCATTCAGACTTTTAAATAGGCAAGAGAGCCGGAGACCTATGGGGATCTTACAGGAGATATGTATAGGAGAGAGGAACGCCTCAGAGGAACTTTCCAAAGGACTACCTTCATGATATCGGAGAAAGCTGCTGGAGCAACCCTTGCGCAGCTATCCTAATCCTGCTGAAGGAATAAGTGGAATTGAGACTTGCATTGATGACAGAACTCTGCTATTGGTTCCTGGAGAAATTGTTAGAGAGAATCATCATGGCTTGGATGACAGCTAGGCCATCCAAGTACAACCTGGTCGCTGACAGACTGGAATTTTTCAGGCACATGATCTCCAAAGAATCTAAGTGGCTTTAACTAGAGAAACTAAGGCACTCTGGCTGAGGACAAACAAAAGGAAGTGAAGCCATCTCTTGGTCTGACTGGCTATTTCAGTATTTTCCTAATAATCTCGGTATTGCAGACTACAAAAATTTCATGAAAGACAGAGGCAGCTGAACAAAGAATTATGGAGGTACTCCTTCCTCAAATCAACCAGCCAACCAGTAACCAGCCAATCCCAAGGAGGCCTGATCCCTCCCATGCGTTCATCTTACGCAGTGATGGATCAGAAATGGAAGAGAAATGTCTGGCCGATGTTTAGGCTGAGAGGAAATTCTGCAATTACCCCAATAATACCTGGTTATCTTACAGACAGATTCTCAGCCACTGACTAACTCAGGAGATCGAATCATGTAGTGGGCCATGTACCTGCAGAACTTCTGGATCCCAGTTATCAATCAGAAGTAACAACACCAGGGCACATTTGCATAGCATAGTAAACCTGTCAGAGGAAGCTGATGATGCCCCAGGTAGGGGGAAATGAGGAGTGCCAGTGACCAAGATGTTTAGATAAAATCCCTTTTCAATGTTGATCTTCAGAAAGTGGGATGAGGTGCTATGTTCATCTTAAGCACCCTGATCGGAACAGGACCATGGGATCTTCTTAAATGGGTGCCTATGTCCGTGTGTTACCACCAAATGTAGATAATAAGGGTATCGACTGAATGGATGAAAGGGGTATCAGCCGAATTGTCATTATTATCACTGTTACTACTACCGCTACCATTAACATTTCCAATACCATTATTGGTGTTATTATTATTATCATCATCATTAGCATCACCTTTATCGTAATAGTCCTGATTTATATACATTATTACCATTATCAAATTTACTTACTACAATCATCATTATTATCATTGTTCTTATTATTGCCAAGATAATAATAATCATTTTAGGTTAACTACTCAAGTACAGGAAACAAAAATCACTTACCATTTTTACCTTGTGGTGTGTGTTCACTTCGAGAAAAACTGAAACATAGAAATTATTCTTATCATTATTATTATCATTATTATGGCCGACACCGAACATCTAATAGACCCCTCTTAATCCAAGCTCCCCTGGTTCCTGATTTGCAAGCACATTTCCAGCTTTCTTATTATCCAAGAGATGTTGGATGCCACACCAAGCAGAGCTGACTGACTGACTGACCCGGCCACAACACCACAGCATCTACAGCACCTAGCCATCATAGTGAGATCTCAAAACTTACAATATATCTTTGTGAGAGATAGATACACAAAATATCTCGTAGAAGTTGATGAGAACATATAACGAACTTTTCACTCACAGAGCTCACTAGTTAGGGGGAGGGGGAACAGTCGCTACCCTGGCTCCCGACATCCAAACACTGAACAGAATACTGCTTGAAAAGGAAAAGGCGGCTCGCGGTTTTGTTTCAAAATCCCCAACGTGGAAGAAAAAAAAACAACAATAAACATAAACATAAACAAGATCACGAATAACAACCGTACACAGGACCAAAAGTGAATTAGCTTTAAGGTCGTTATAGCTTTTAGGGTACAGTGCAGGAAGCTTGTGCAGGATTAATGGTAATAACTCTCGTCCCTCCAAGTTCCTCTTTGTTCACATGTTCATCCAAACGTCACATTTTGATTCCATTCCACTTTATAAACCCCTTCTCTTTGGTCTTCTGCTTTTCCTTCCCTCTCGGTTCACCTTGAGAGAGAGAGAGAGAGAGAGGGAGAGGGAGAGGGAGAGGGAGAGGGAGGGAGAGAGAGAGAGAGAGAGAGAGAGAGAGAGAGAGAGAGAGAGAGAGAGAGAGAGAGAGAGAGAGAGAGAGAGAGAGAGAGAGAGAGAGAGAAAATGAAAAAGAAAAAGAAAAAGAAAAAGAAAAAGAAAATGAAAATGAAAATGAAAATGAAAATGAAAATGAAAATGAAAATGAAAAAGAGAGAGAGAGAGAGAAAGACAGAAGCACAGACAACTCCTATCATTCAGAACGAGGGCGAATCAAACGCGACTTTTCTCTCCTCCCGGTCGCTCTCAACATCTCCCCCCCCTTTATTTTTCTTCTATCACCTTTCATTCCTCCTCTTCGTTCCCTCCGTCTAAGGTACCTGCTGCGCGCTTCTCCGCAGCCTCAATCCTGACGCTTCCCAACTCTTATAATTCATTGCTTCATCAATTATCCTTGTTTCATTATTCTGCTCTCTCTCTCTCTCTCTCTCTCTCTCTCTCTCTCTCTCTCTCTCTCTCTCTTCACCCCCCCCCCCCCCCCTTGGCCGTTGTCCTGAATGAGCCACAACGGGTTCCTTCGCTGCCTCGAATGCCTCGCTACAGGCACTATTGTATTCACTATCAGATAATAAATTGCTTCGCAAGTAAATAAAAACGATTATGAATTCGATGCACACACACACACACACATATATATATATGTGTACATATATATACATATGTATATATATATTTCATATATATATATATGTATATGTATTTATATACATACATACATAGATACATACAGACATATATATATATATATATATATATATATATATATATATATATATATATATATATATATGTATATATATACATATATACATATATATACAGATAGATAGGTAGATAGACAGATATACATATGCATTTATACACACATTATATATATATATATATATATATATATATATATATATATATATATATATATATATATATATATATATATATGCGAACATATGCACATAAATATGTATAAATATATATATATATACACATGTATTTGTATATATATGCATAAAGATATATATATATACACACACACACACATATATATATACATATATATATATATAAAGGAAATCAGAAATAAAACGTACATATGGAATAAATTAACAAAGAGTCTATGCAACTTTCCTCACCCAGAGAACGAGCAGGTCCTCCCTCTGAACCAGCGCAGAGAGGAATAAAGCCGGTGTTTGTGTCCCTCTGACTTATAGCCTCCAAGTGTTCGCCGAAACAAAGCTGATGGTGTTTTTAATTGGTTATTCTTACCAGTAATACCCGTATTTATTATTGCTGTTATTATTATTGTTGTCGTTATTGTTATTGCAATTCTTATAATCTCGTTATTATCTTCGTTATCATCTTCACTATCATTCTCGTCATCCTTATCATCTTTATAATGACTATGCTTTGATTATTATTACTACTACTACTATTTTATCATTATTATTATCATTATCATTATCATTGTTATTATTACTACTACTAGTGTTATTATTATTATTATTATTATTATTATTATTATTATCATTATCATCATCATTATTATTATTATTACCTATATCATCATTATCATTATTATAATTATTTTAATCATTATCGATAGATAAATATTATTATCAATATCATCATCATTATTATTATTATCATTATCTTTATCATCATTATCATTATTATCATTATTTTAATAATTATCATTATTATCATTATTTTAATAATTATCGATAGATAAATATTATTAGCATTATCATTATTATAATCATCATTATTATTGTTAGTATTGTCATTATATTGTCTTGAAATACTCTTGGTCAACGATTTTTTATCAGTTATTGCCCTGTTCTCACTTTATCACTTATCCGTTCTTGTCCTACATAGTACATTTACCAAAACACTGGGAAAATTACGAGGATGAAAATAATCCAGATAAAAAAATAAATAAATAAATAAATAAAATAAAAGAGTTTATCACTGCGTCATACAATGCGATCGTCACTACTGTCTACGTGTCATATATGTATATATATATATATGTACACACACACACACACACACATACACACACACAGACACACACGTGCATATACATACACGTTGTCAAACACCTGTTCTGCGCAATACTGAACAGGTGCTAAGTTCAAGTAGCCCGCTTTTATTCTTAGACAAAGAGACTAAATTTACGTATATATAAATTTACAGATAGATAAATAGATAGATGGATAGATATATGGAGACCAATGCCACAAGACGAAATAAAAAGGGTATAAAAAGCAATTTTTTTTTTCTTCACAGTTTTCACAACCTAGTATTATAGAAGAAGAGTCACAGAGATGGATACAGAAAGCGCGAAGATATTGAAGTATGAAATTACCTTCGAGAGATAAGGAAAAAAGTTTAGAGGTAAAATCAGTTCCGGTTTTTGTGTGTGTACGATTGGTATTAAAAGGAAAATCGTAGTGAATTTCACATTATACGCACAAGCGCGCGCGCACACACATACGCACACACACGCACACACACACGCACGCACGCACACACACATACACACACACGTACACACACACACACACACACACACACACACACACACACACACACACACACACACACACACACACACACACACACACACACACACACACACACACATACACACACACACACAAAAACACACACACACACACACACACACACATAAACACACAAACACACACACAAATATAAACTTACCAAAGGAAAAAAACAATGCTACGGCGAAGATGCTACAGTAGCTGTCTCACTGAAGGATATACACCGTGTTCTGCTGACAAAACGTACATGAACCAACATATATACTTTTTTTTTTTTTAGATTATTGTTACATGGTCAGAGCGCAGAGACTACCTTCCTTCCTATAAGGCATTATTTGCATGAGACTATAAGTGTTTCATAGTTTATTTTTATAGGTTGGAATTTCTTCTATATTTTGAGTTTATTATTAACTATTAAGTTTATTTGCTTATATTTTGCTCATATATATATTGACTTATTTGCAATCCAGCAGTGTCTGGCAACTATCGACGCACTCAATCCAGGTCAAGCGAGCGTCCATTTCTTTGTACATTATATATATGTATATATATATATATATATATATATATATATATATATATATATATATATATATATATATAATGTTCTTTAAATACAATTTGCATGATGTCCAAGCTGTTGTTGCACAGTTCTTTTTTTCTCTCTCTCTCTCTCTCATCCTATGCCATAATTTACTAAACCGTATTTTCGTGGGATTTATTCTGGGTAAATAAACCTTAAGCGAAGGGGAACTTGTGAGCGACTCATGTTTTGGGGGAAAAAACTACACATTAAAATATCCGTTTTAATCATGTCACTAAAGCAGTGAAATGTGACGACAAAATGACATGCATCTCTGAGATAGGATGGCGATTCAGAAGATATTAATGTTAAAGTGAATGTTCTAAGTCAATTCTAATATTATGGAAGACTATAATTTTCTATTAGCGCAATATATCATGAACTACAATAGGCCTATAAATGAACAAATTCTTGTACTAATAGATACATGAAATATCAAAACTTACTATAGCCCTATAAATAAACAAATTCCTGTACTAATTAATAAATAAATTATCAAAACTTACTGTATGTTCAAATACCAAGGCAAAAATGCACACGAAGACGCTCATGAAAAACGAACAGAAACATTCATGACTTTCAAATATACATGATGGCCTAAACCTTTAAAAAGAAAACAAGAAAGAAAGAGAGAAATAAAAAGAGAAAGGAAGAAGGAAAATAGACGCACTAGCAACCCAATCAATAATGTTCTAATCTTAACATTATATTTTAATACGTAAGTTTCTCTAGCTCTCGTACAACATAGATACACATACATACAATATATACAGATAAATTAATTATTTATATATATAAATATATATATATATATATATATATATATATATATATATATATATATATATATATGTATATATATATATATATATGTATATATATGTATATGTATATATATATATATATATATAAATATATATATATATATATATATATATATATATATATATATATATACACATTTATATGTGTGCAAGTATGTGTGTGTGTGTGTGTGTGTGTGTGTGTGTGTGTGTGTGTGTGTGTGTGTGTGTGTGTGTCCATTATGTTGTGACCTATGTACTATATATTATTATGTATCATATATATATATCATAGCTATAGATTAACGAGATATAGCAAAATCACACAGTCGCATAAGATTATCACAAGATTACGTTCTATTATTAGGCACATTGGATGCAGGTTAGATAATTTAGTTTCAGTTTGATAAAAAAAAAATGCAGAATGAACTTCTCAGGAGATAACTGTCAATTAATACGTCCCGTCTCGAAAAATTAAAAACTGGCAACTCATTCTCGATTCTGGTGTGTTCGACTCGCTCAGTCTCTCTCTTTCTCTCTCTCTCTATCTCCGTCTCTCTCTCTCTCTCTATCTCCGTCTCTCTCTCTCTCTCTCTCTCTCTCTCTCTCTCTCTCTCTCTCTCTCTCTCTCTCTCTCTCTATCTCTCTCTCTTTCTCTCTCCTTCTTATCAGCTGACTGTAATATTTATGCTTATGTATTGTCTGTAATTGTACAATTTACGTCATACCGAACCATACCGAGAGAGAGAGAGAGAGAGAGAGAGAGAGAGAGAGAGAGAGAGAGAATGCCACTTTTTATATATTTTATTTACTTTCTTTTTCTCAAAAGAGTCTTTAGCGAATCGGATAACTTTAGAGAGTTACCCCCCCCCTCCCCCGTGAAAATGGACAGATTACAAGTGACCGACAGTTGATTTTTTCCTAATGGATGCAACAGCTAACAGAGGCGAAGATCCCTGAAAGCTATGAGAGAGTGGTGCAAGATATGCATGAAGGGTACACTACGAGAGTCAGAACTGCATGTGGAGAGACAGAAAGAGTTTAAGGTGACAGTGGGACTACATCAAGGTTGAGCAATCAGCCCATTCCTTTTCCTGATCATCCTGGAGTGTCTGACTAGGGACATCAGGAGATTAGCACCATGGGATTTGTTGTTCGCTGATGATGTGGCGATTATCACAAGAACACGAGACCGAACACAGACTGGAACTGTGGCGACATGCCCTGGAAAGACGCGGCATGAGAGTGAGCAGGAAGAAAACTGAGTATCTTTGCACAGGTGGAGGTCAGAAAGAAGGTACCATCAGAATTGGAGATGTCCAAGTGAACCGAGTGAAGGATTTCAAGTACCTAGGTTCAACCGTACAAGAAGATGGGGGCACCGAGCAGGAAATTGCGAGGAGGATCCAGTCGGGATGGAATAGTTGGAAGAAGATCACCGGAGTTGTATGTGACCGCAAGGTGCCAGACAAGGTGAAGGGAAAGCTTCACAAGCTCATGATCAGACCGGCGATGTTATATGGATTGGAGACGGTCCCTCTAACCAAGTCGCAGGAAAGGGAACTAGAGGTGGCAGAGATGAGGATGATGAGATATGAGGTCGGAGTAACTAGGTTGGACAAGATCAAGAATGAGACTACTAGAGAAATACTGGGAATTGAGCGATACGGTGAAAAGATCCGGGAGAGTCGACTTAGTTGGTTCGGGCATGTGTATAGGAGGGATGAAGAGTACGTGGGGAAGAGAGTTATGAGTAGGATAGTCGGAAGAAGAAAGAGGGGGCGACCCAAGAGGCGGTGGAGAGACTGCATTAGAGACGACACGAGGAGCGTCGGGCTACAGGAAGAGGATACCTGAAACCGGAATGCTTGGAAGAGACGGATCCGCACCGGCAACCCCGCACAGGGAACAAGCCAGTAGAAGAAGAAGAAGAAAAAGAAAAAGAAAAAGAAAAAGAAAAAGAAAAAGAAAAAGAAAAGAAAAAGAAAAAGAAAAAGAAAAAGAAAAAGAAAAAGAAAAAGAAAAAGAAAAAGAAAAAGAAAAAGAAGAAGAAGACGAAGAAGAAGAAGGATGCAACAGCTAATGGGCCGTGGATTCCACCTCTGTGTGTGTGTTCGGTGTGGGGGGGGGGGGTATGGAGGCAGACATAATAGAAAATAGATGACCTTAACCCATTCACGCCGGGTGTCCCGTATACGTGACGGGCTCACTGCGAGTTGACTTGTTTAATTGTTTACAAACATAGATGGCTCCACTTGCACTTGTACTGCCTGTCTCGTCTGTTTACCCTTTTCTTTAATTTACGAAATTATTTTACGTTATCTTATTTTGCTGTTACTAATGTTTATAACATTATAGTAATTATAAAGTTTATAATGAAAATAACCATCGATATTCATAGCACTAGTAAAAATACAGTTTCCCGCCAAATGAAATCAGGTAAAGCAGAACCATCTAGTGTAGAGAAATTTCATTAAAAAATATAAAAAATGAGCACAGCATTTCCCCCATTTTTTGTTCATTTCTACCCGGCGCGAATGGGTTAAGTCCTCAGGTCTAATTGCTCAGGTAGGCCATTTGGACAATTGTAAGTGCTAAATTACTTGTATTCAGTGAACTGCTTTTTGCTATATAAAATGACGGAAATATTTACGAATTGTTAGAGTTTATATGTCAACCGAAAAAGAAGTAGTAACCTGTTTTAGAACATGAAAAGAAAGAAAGAAAAAAATAAAGTTCTAAATTCAAGGGAACGCCATCTAATGTGTTAACTTTTACCATGGATTCTTAAATATTCCAGTAGTTTGTATATTCAAAGTAAAGAGAAAATTAACCTAGCAAAAAAAAAATATATATATACATACATATATATATATATATATATATATATATATATATATATATATATATATATATATATATATGTGTGTGTGTGTGTGTGTGTGTGTGTATGTATATATATATATATGTATATATATATATAAAGAGAGAGAGAGAGAGAGAGAGAGAGAGAGAGAGAGAGAGAGAGAGACAGACAGACAGACAGACGCACAGACAGAAACAGAGACAGAGGTGACAGATAGACAGACAGATACTTTTTATTGGTTATCTATGTGTCACGTTACATATAATACACTATTTTCTTTTCTTTTACAGAGTGTAACTAGTCCTTACCCAGACACTACTTGCAAGATACAAAACAGTAATAACTAAGACAGTAGCACAAAAATATAATAACACATATATAATATACAACAGCACAGCAAATCAAGATATAAATGTATGGCTAGAGTTAAAAATAGTAGAGTTTGGGGTTTGAATAACTAGTTACAAGATGTCTTCCCTTTCCTTTTTCTTTAGTGGAAGGCAATTGTTATCAAATCAATGGAAGCCGTGAGAATTGGTTCGTTTTGCAAACCGAAACTTACTTTTTCTAATGAATTTATTGTGAGAATGAGGATGTATCTGTTGACTTTTTTTTCTAGAAATGGTAGTCCGACATTCACATAATATTCTCCAACGAAGGAGGAAGAGGATTTCATCTTCCACCTGATTTAGGTCGCAAAAGTCACATATCCGCTCTTCGACGGAGAGACAAAAAATAACGCCCTTTCTCCATCGTCAGAGGAACAGGCAAATTCAATATTCCAGCAAGAATTTGTGCGAAAACTGATAGTTCCTTTTGAGAAACGACGAGACTGTCTATCTTACGTTTTTTTCATAAAAGATGTTTAGTTTATTGAGCTGATCGAGAATGTGACGAAGGTCTGCGCGCCAGATTAGTCTCCTGTCGTATTGAGTTTCGAATATTTTTACAAGGGAGCCTTTTGGAAGCTACTTGAGCGAGATGGACCCTCAGGGGCAACATCTCTACCTACAAC